GGAGTGCTTTACATGGCCTGGGTAAAAAAGTTCTTCTTCCATGATTAAATCAATTTTTACAGCATGTAATTAAACCCTGTTGCCAAAAAGGTGCGATCGGGTCCCAATGAGCACAAAAAAGTTGGAATTTGCATAAAAAATAAAAATTCTAATAACGAGGGATGAAACTTAAATGTCAATAACTCAAGCAATGTTCATTACAGAGTGTCAGAACTCGAATAAAGAGATTTTTAGTCTTCAAAAATCATGTCAGGACCTCAAATTGACCTCTAAAATGAATAGCAGCGATTTCCGAAAAATGACCTTGAATGACCTTGTCCTTGAAACATAAAAAATGAATGTCGCCCAAACTCACTATATTCGATTCTCAAGCCAATAGCATGTTTGGTTGCAAAGTTATTGGCGTTCAACATCATACTAAGTAGCTGAATAGCCCTGTACAACTCTTTAGACAAAACGGTTTCCACAAAATGAACTCCTAGAGGTTGACCTGAAAGTGATCTATTGAGCCTTCAAAACATTTGCTCGAACTCGAGACTTCTGAGCTTCTGTGTTTATGATTACAGTCTTATCCCAAACTATCAAAACTGAAGTGAAAGTCCAAGCTGAGTTAAAGTTCTGAGTGAAGTTTACTCATCAGTCAGATTCATTAATCTTGTTTTATTAAGAGTGAAAATTCATGATGAAAATGATGAGTTGATTTGAACCTTGAATTATGTTGAACATGATATTATTTAACAAAATGTTAACCTTTCCTTTGAAACATTGAAATTGAATCATTTGTATTTCATCTTTTTTTGTGTGTGATTCCCTATTCAAATGTTCATACTTTTTTTCAATTTGAAATGATAAGTTGATGATAACCATGAAAGATGATGAAACTGAATGAGATGAAAGGAAAAGTTTTCTTGGTATAAAACGGTAAAGTGAGATGGTGAAGAATGGGAAAAAGATGAACCCAAAAATGATAAAAGGTTGGATAAGATTGAATAAGACGAACAAGATTGAAAAAAATAAACACAGGTTTTTGTGGTAAAAATAATGTTTCATCTTCTTTCTCTTCCTCCTTATCATCACTTTCATCTTTTGTTTCTTCACCTGAACGATCAATACCTCTGAACGTTTTCACATGAAAATGTTTCAATTTGTAACTTGCAACTTCAACTATCAAATAGTAATATTAAATACCTTTAAAAAGATGATCACTTGAGATGCTTTGAACACTTTAGAGATTGCTTTTCATCTTTCATTACACTTTTACATTTTCCAACACAATCTTGATTTGCATCTTTACTAATTATAGATACAAATTGTGACAATTGATTCAATTGTTGCCTTGTTGGTGTTTGATAATTGTTGTTTGTCACCAAAATAGTTTGCTAGACAAGGTATAATAATGAAAGGCAATTGATTGTGATCAATTTAGTGTTTGCTTTGTAAGCTATAATTTCATCTAATGTTAACCAAGAAAATTATATCACCACAAATGGTTTGAAACCTTTTTTTGGATGCTTTTTGTTTTCACCAAAGATTGGTTTTTACCTTTCCAACAAATCCATCAGATGTATTAGGAAAACAAAATTGTAACAGAAAGAAAAGAAGAAAAAGTTGAAAATAATTTTGAAAATTACTACACAAAGAGTTTGATAAAAGCTCCATTCTTTACTGATTTTCACTGGAAACATCGTCTAATTCATAGTCTAATGTTGTTTAATCTTCGGTTCAGAATTAAAGTTGTGATTGTTCAACCTTCAATTCAAGTAAAATTACAATTTTGAATTACCATTTCAGTTGATGCCAAACTAAAGGTTTTATCATCACTTAACATTTCAATTTTCATCACAACACTAACTGTTGAATTTTAAAGTCTCCAATAATCTAACATTTGATTTACACAAAGTTGAATGTTTATCATCGGGTACCTTTGCTTCACCATTTGAGCTTCATTTTTCAGCATATTCAATGTCGAGAAGTCCTGAGATCAGTCGAAGGAGAACAGACGAACTGAGAAATTCAGATTAAAATGAGTAGCATTTGCAAGTCTACTTCTGGGCCAACATCTTCAGACCAATTAAGCTTATTTTTCGTTGATTTTTAAAAAAAGTTTTTTATTTGAAAATAGAATATTCTTTTTAAGCGATTTTAATTGATAACTTGAAAGCTATTGTAACAAAAGCTTAACACTAATGGATAATGAAAATTGAACAAATTGGACAAAAATAGGAAAAAATAAAGTTCTCTATTATTATTAATATATTTTCATCACATTCTCGAGTTTTTTTCAGAGTTTTCGGTAAAATTGTTGTTCCTTTGGGAAGACAAATATTTTATTATGGAGATCTCAAATTCAGAATAATAAACAACTCAACCTTTTATTAAAAAAGAGCTAAAATCCGATTCTGAAAATTCTGACCTTTGTAACATTGATTGGATTGGAATGAAAATTTTTGATTTATAACAATAATATGGATTATGAGCTAAGCCACCGATTAAAGTGTTTTGAGGATAAACACTGAATTTTTATTCAAAGAGGAAGGTTTCCATTCTTGATAAGTATTCATAAGAGCCATTACTTGAAGAGGATAAAATTTAAATTCATCATGTGAATATCAAGGTGAGAATGAATAATATAAATGAGCGAATAAGCTTAGCTTGTAATTTCATCGCATTTGGTTGCATTAATTTTATACTTTTTCATATTTCGTTTGTTAACTGAGCTTGAAATTTGCTTGAAAACGAAATAAAAGTTTTCCTACAAAATTGATCGTTGACTTGATCATCATTCAACATTTTCCTTCAATCTGTTTACTCACTCATCAAATCAATCTATCAATTTTAACTTTGTCCAGTTTACCATTTAAACATCATGATTGACTGAACTCAAATCAACTGAAAACTAATATTTATCTTGCACCAAAAATGAACTGAAACGAGAAAAAATAGTGACTTCAAGATTGAATTGAAAGCAATAAAAGTTAATGTACAATAAGCATACCAAAGTAAACTTTAAATCCCAACATTTATTATCTATTAAATGTTGTATATCTTAATAACAATGATAATAAAGGTTAAATTAAATGACTTCGACA